CCCAAAGGCGAGGGCCGTGGCGGGTATGAGTGTTGTAGTCGTCGATAGTCCATGTTCAAAATGTGTTGGTGGACTAGATTAAGATCGAGGGACAAAAAGTATGAGAAAGTAGAATGGCGGTGGAATAGTGAAATGCAGAAGAAAAGAGAAAATGGAAATGGGCCAGAGCTGCAGGATCAGCGGTTGATCGCGCGACCCGGGAGATAGCACAAGACAATGGGAACGTGCAGAAATAGGCGTTTGGGCGGAAATGTGTCAACAATCAACACACAAATACAATCAAAATAGAATAATCCACTTTTGAAATTTCTTCCGAAGTTGATGGGGGGAAACGGAGAAAAAACGGTGAGCGATGACGGTGGTCTTTAGCGCGATGGGCCTTCGGGCCAAGACCTAATCTTGCATGCGGGGATTGTGTACATCGACATAGATGTGTGGCAGGGTACATATGCACCTATATGAGAGGGGAAAAGGGGGGGAAGTGTTGCATTTTAGACTTATATCTTATATACACGTATACAAATACCTAACTAGAATTTGGCTCGATGCTTAAATATCTTGAATAATATAGTTGTTCTGAATGTCCTTGCCAAGAAACCCAACGCGCTCCCAATGTATACTAGCCCTATAAAGAGCTTAACGTGTCAAATATATATTAGAGACCCTCTATTTATTTTAGGTATACAATAACTATTGTATGGGGTAATTTGAATGCCCCCGCGTCTATCATGCTATTAACTAGCTACAATGAGCCTCTTAAGCGACAAAGATACAAGGATAACCTCCTGAGCAACATGGAGTATCATTAGACCCCTGGTGCTGCGTGCACCACCATAGACTCATGAGGTAGTCATGACTAAGTGCACCTAAGCCACCGAACCGACTCAGGCTAGCGGCAGTATTTCTTTGAAAAGTAGCTACTCAGTGGGCAAAACTGAGAACTGGAGTTACAACTTGCATACATAGTTACTTAAGCCCATGCTCGATCATAGAGATCTAGGTAAATTCATAAACGTCGATAAACAGGGTCAGGTGGCTCGTTCTGATGACTAAGGAAACCATAGCCGGGCCCAATCCATCAATCTCACAATCTCGAGTCATCACGGAACAACGAAATGCATGTAAAGAATCGTGTCAACGTAATCATCTGATGCCCGATGGAGAAGGTGGGGGTGTCAGACAAGAAGGACGGTTACAGCGCATCAACACAAATAGGTTCAGGCTATAGACTGATCAACGCAAGACCTCCTTGTTCATATGAGTGATACCTGCGACTTCATCGACGATCTGCCCTTTCCTCATTATCCTCGTTACCTATTGACGATGAGCCCACAACAGACGATAAGCCCGAGGCGATCCTGGTTCACTGTGCGCCAACGATCATCATCGCCTATCTTATGCGCAAACTGCGTATCCCGCCAAAGGAGGCGTTGGGGTTTGTTAAATCAAAACGAAGAGTAGACAAAGCTCAAATTTTACCCGCCAACTTCAAGTATAGGATGAAGTCGGATATGAAGTATGGGAGGACAAGGAGAAGACATCCTTGACGGGACTTGGGCGAATATCAGCCAGGAGCAGCCTTTAGGAAACATCAGTTATAGTACCTCAAGAGTTGAGGCATGATGTTGGAATTTGGCTTGGCAGTGTCCTAGGTACTGACACAAATGCTTAACCTTAACAGACGAGATATTCACGTGAATTGGATACCAATTTGGAAGACCCAGTGGACGGTCCATCCAGATTACTAAGCCGTGTCACGGGCCCAGGAAGGGACAAACCTAAAATAACCCAATGATGTAAGTAAATCGAGTTCTATTTTCATTCGGATGCCCAACCTGCAAGCCTATTCTGCAAACCAGTTTGTGTCTTGTATTACCTGTTCCTTGTTATCCGGAAACTTGCATATGCAGGAAAACGCCAGGATGACCCTGCTCAGACATGAAATGCGAAAAAAAAAAACATCCTATTGTACTAGGCCTTGGGTATTATTTGATATATGTTTAGCCTCTTTAACCGGACATACTGTTACAAAATGCAGGGAGAAAAACAGTGACGCTCAAACGCCATAGAAAAACACAATATTCCACACTCGACCGGACAGTCTCACTGCTTCGGTTTCAATCGCAGTCGGCGCCTCCACCTCATCGCACTCTTCGTCAAGGCGCGCTGGGTGCGCTCAAGCGGGTAGTTGACGGGAGATTCACCACCGGTGAAGATGAAGAAGTCGTATAGGAAAGCACCGAAAAACCCACCGCCGACACACCCCACCCACGGCCCGTAGAACCAGTAAGGGTCCGTGAACATCGAGTTCGGGTAGCCGAGAGCGAGCAGCGCAAGCCGGGGACCAAAGTCACGACTCGGGTTAAACGCAGCTCCGGTCTGGTAAGCAAAGCACATGAGGAGGGACGTAATGACCAAGCCGACAATCAGTGAGTTCATACCAGCACCGGGGGGAGCGTTCTGGTCATCACCCAGCGCCAGAATGGTGACGATTAGAAAGCTGGTTCCGACGAACTCGGTGAAGAACGCCGTGGTATGACTCACCCACGACTCACGCGCATTTGTCACGAAGCTGTTGATGATTCCGGTGTCTGTGTTGGTGAGGAGGTAGTTCTGGATGGATTCGTAGTAGATTCCGTACGCGACGAGACCCGCGCAGAAGGCGGCTATAAACTGCGCGGCGAAGTACTCGGGCATTTTGCGGGCGGGGAAACCACGGAAGAACCACAATACCATGGTCACGACTGGGTTGAGATGGGCACCGGAAACACCACCGGAAATGTAAATGCCGATCATAGTTGCGAAGCCCCAGGCCCAGGCGGTTGTGTTGGGGTTACCCTGGCCGGCGACGGTGACGGACACGTCGATGGCGAAGCCCATGGTGAGCGAAACAAACACACCCAGGCCCTCGGCGAGAGCCTCGCGGTGGTGTGTACGGACGACGGACCAAGTGGTGTGGTTGTTGTGCACTTCGTCTTCGACCAGTTCCTGGACAAGCGGATGCAGGTCTTCGGGGTAATTCCCCTTTTCCATTTCGGGAAGCGATAAGAGTTCGTCCAATCGCGCACCCATGTCTTGATTATTCTGGAACTGCTCGTCAGCGGACATCGGCCGCTCTTCTTGTTCATGTTCATCTTCGGCTGGATGATCACCCTCTTCTACAGTGGGCAGTTGTTGATCCGGCGGCGGCATATCCCATGTCGAGGTACGTCTCCCCGGGATCGAGGACGAACGCGACATGCGCGAAGTCTGTCTCATGGAGCTGCCGCCATCCCCACTGAGAATCTTACTCATAAAGGTATTCTCACGCTGCAACCGAGCGTCCTTCACCTGGGCAGCCATCTTCCGCGGATCGGACGTCTTATCAATGCGACCCTGCTCGACATCGTTCGGGTCCACGTCCAGCCCCAACCTATCCGAGTTCTCCGTGGGCCGCTGGGCATTCGCCATGTTCTGCAAGAGCTCATCTTTGGTCGGCACCATACTCGGCCGCACCACACGGGGCAACGGTTTGGCCAGCGACCAGACCGGTCTGGCGTTGGAGGCCTGTTCATAGGATGGATTGAGATCCGCGTAGCCCGGCTGGACGAAGGGTTCCTGCGCCAGACGCAGCTGGGGGGTTCCATCCGGCCCAGCGAGGGTGAATTTGCCCTGGGTGCGCTGCGCGAGCGTGGTGCGCGGGATCAGACTGGGTAGTGCACTACCATTACTTTGTGTCGTCGAGGTATTCGAGTTGAATCGCCGAGGAACGCCGCCATCCTCAGCGGAAGTTCTCCGAGGTGAGGTAGTTCTCCTGGGTGAGGTAGTTCTCCTAGGTGAGGTATAATCTGCATCGCTGGCGGCTCGGTTGCGGTTCGGTGACTGTGGCAGAGCATCGGACTGGAACGGTGTTAGATGGTGGTTTCTTAGCTGATAGTTCTACTCCGACTTACTCTCGCCCTCGGACGACCCCCACTCATAATGACTCTGATTCGACCCGCACGATCGGCAATGTTAACGTGGGAAAGGTGTCAGACGAACGGAACGAAGTAGAGAAAAAAAAAGAGTGAAGAAGAAGAAATGACCGAACAAAAGGGACAATTTCCACCCCCATTACGCCACGAGGATCTTCATTGAACTCCTCAATTGGCGTACAAGGTGGATCATAGTTTCAGGATATGATAACCTCGTCAATAAGGTGCATCGGCACCTGTCCTGGTCCATGCGAATCCTGCACGCGCCTGGCTCGTTGCACCGTTGACGATATCAAGTCTGCCCGTCGTGATGACCGCTGGCATTGCCGTTCTTAGGGCCTGCTGGTATATTGTATTTATTCCCTCGGGGGGTTCTCCATGTTGTGCGTTGTTTTTTTTCTTTATCTTGTCCAATCGGGTGGCCAATTGGTACCCAACTGTGGATGTGAACTCTGCAAATCTCGGGTTTCCTGCTTTTCCGTGGATCATCTCGCTGGATCCTCACCGGCATCCCACGGGAGCCCCATCGAGGTACAGGTCCCACCGAGAAAAACAACACAACGGGCAAGGATTAGCGGGCTTGTTTTTGACGATGTTCCCGCTTGTCTCGAAAAGAATAGATTACCTGCGCCAATTACCCCCTGCACCGATCGAAATGCGTCAATTAACTACCGGGTAGCTACCGGGTCGGTGATAAACCGGTAATAAACCGGTTGGTGACGAGGAATAACATGCACCTAAAAATAGAAAATAAAATCGATTTCTCGATTTCAAAGACGTATATCGACTACTTTTATCATTTTGCGACATATTTTCTCTTTTTTTACTAGATTTGAAATTCTACACGGCGTATAGACTGGGGATATTTAAAAAGCGAGAAGAAGACGCGAAATACAAAAAGAAAACTGTAATTTTCAATAGAAGAGCCGGCTAGTCCCGATGAGGAAATGAAAGGCCCCACGTGGACCACCGGTATTGTTCTTCTGGGTGGGACCTGGACGGAGCAGGGCCGATGGATAAAGGGGAGTTCCATTTCTATGCACGTATTTATGCTTCATTTAGAGCCGTGAGGTATTTACTCTAATCGAATTAGATCCAGATCTGAGAAGATTCTAAAGTGGACCTCTGTGCTGTGATCTTACGCTGTTTGCAGTGGAGATATAGATGTGTACACAATTAAAGCACATACTCAATCCTGGAAATGATATAATGATATCATGCACATCAAATTAAACTCAAATTGGGTATCACAGTCAACAACGGTTACGCTACTATACACATACCGGCGAGAGATGGAGGCCATCCTTAGTAATCATAAACGGTCCCGGTAAAGACCAGAACACGTCAGAATAAGAATGATGCACACAGTCACTCCCAGAGAATGCCTCCCCCGTAACCACCACAGTCAAATGGCGCGGAACAACATTCTGCCCATCCCAATGGGACAAATACCCCCTCTGCCGGAGAGTATCGAGTTGCTCAACGAGACGCGGGTACAATTCGTCAAGCGAGGTCCTAGCCTCAAGCACCAAAAAGAAAGTCCGAGCCCGACCAGGATGAAAGCTGCCTGACATCCCAGGATCAACGGATGCCCGGGCGGTGGCATCGTTCTCAGCAACTTTCTCCATAAGAGGGTCGAGACCGAGTCTCTGCAGGACGTGCTCGTGCTCAGTCTCCACACCGGCGTCTCCAATCTGCAGCTCCCCGTTGTGCATCCAGACCGCCGTTCGGAGGCCATCGCATCCCTCGTTGAACGACGACTCGAGGGCCTGTGGTCGCGTGTCTAGCGTCGGAAATGTACACGCGCCACTCTGGGGGTGAAGGTGCGCGTGGTGTGGGCCCGTGCGTGTGATATGGATTGGGAGCCATCGGAGACATTGGAATGCGGCTCTGGGGAGGAATGTGTCAGATTGGCTGTCTAGCAGAGATGGGACAGAAACACTCACAGGCATCCGAGGATAAGGCATCCCGCGCGAAAAAGAAGCGCCCTTCGCTTTCCAATGGACTCGTAGTATTCGTCGAGGTAAAGTGACAGGCCTGGGATGCACTCTGTCGGGTACGATCGTAGGGGATGGTCGTCGAGAAGCCATGGGTCGTATTCTAATCGTGTGTTGGCCTCAAGGTCTAAATCCTTTGAGAACTCCATAGTCTTCTCGTCCGATGCATTGATAGCTTCCATAGCGAGCTTTCAGGGTGAAAATCCTTAGGCGCGATCTAGCTCGTATAAGGAGGCGAACCAGGTTGCAGAATGCAAGTGATTAGAAGCTAATTGTGCGAGGTGCATGATATAAATATTAAAGCTCGAGGTATAACTACTCCCTACTCACCTTAAATGAGGGGATATCGCGCAATTGTGTGGGGAATTGCGTGAAGCACGCCATTGTGATTGGCGATGGCATTTATATGATCGTCGGAGAAGGTGAGATTAAGTTGCACATTATCTACAGTAAGAAGCTGTGCTAGGTACGAGTTTATAGAAGGTAACAAGGCCATTCGCACAAAGTACTTGTGTGATACATCGTATACCCGACAGTTGCACAATAAGAGCATGTCATTCTCATCTGCCAAGACGCCAAGACGCCAAGACCGGGCCCATTTAACTTTGTCGGCACGGCTCGTCAGTCTTGACCGTACGGTGTGGGAATATCACACCTGGGCAGCGTTACCATTTCGCCCTTTTCTGACTAAAGTGCTATACCAAGAAATAGGAATAGAAAGACATAAACTAAGGCACTCAAAAAGGAGCTCAAATAAGACACTTAAAAGACACTCGAAGGCATTCAAAACCACAGCAAACAAAAGAATATATCATATCAGTGTTACATGTCTGACCTATTTTGTCATGCTTGTACAGCTTTTGTAAACACCTGGTAGTCCGTTGATTCCATCGACCAACAAATGGCCGAGCTTCTATGCTTGAATGCCACTTATCGTTCTACGGAGGAGATCCGAAGAAGGATCGACTGAAATCGCCACTATCTAGAAAGATAAAAATTAATGACGACTTCAGGCGATTCATGCGGGGTTAGCTGATATTCTCTTAGTCCTAAGGCTGGACCACTTCTGGAGCAACGTCACCGCTTGACGCGTCTACCCGACTAAGCATAGTCACCTTCTAAGGTCACTCGCTATATTTTGAAAGGTTTATGTACATAGAATAACTAGGGGCAAAATAAAACTCGACGCTAAAATTCAACAAACATTCCCTGATTTCTTTCATATTTCATAGCATGTGATCTATCACAGAACGCTATCGTCTACATCTAATATTGCCACCTTTGGGGGACAACCTGTGATTGTAAGTTGAGCGAGGAGCACTTGGCAAGGGCCGGGTATAAAATTGCTGCCGGAAGGCCCACTTCTACTTCTGGTCTAGTGTGAGAAAACCAACGTAACTGCATTGATTGGTAACAGCTTCAACGACAGAGGAAAAGTGACATGATCTTTTCATTAACATGGTATCGCACGCAAAAAAGAATTGTCCTGGCTGCAAGATCCATGTCCTCTAGTTCTAGCTGGTTTCCTCTTCATACCAGGCAACCACTGATCTGGCTTTTGGCTGCCTCCGTCTCTGCTCCATTCTAGCTACCAACAGTTGACGTTCTGCTTCTCTGCTATGCGGATTTCGATACAACTCCGCGTGTGCTGTTCTCGTAGGAGTTTTAGATCGAATTGACGGCCGGGTGCGAGTTGGTGGGCTCAATACCATTCTCTGAACGAACGGGTTGAAACTTCTGGGTCATTGGTCGAATCCCCACTGTCCTAACTGTAGGATAGCGTCCATCAGCTCAGAAATATGAGGAAATGCTCGAGGTTGCCGGGGGCGCTTGCAACCGAGAGTGAACAATTTGGCGATTGCCCTTGGCCGCGATCAATCGGAGAACGACACAATTAGGCTTGATGCAATTCAATCTTCCCTCGATATTCTTGATCACATGCTCGGGCTAAAGGCATGCTGCGAACAATGACGAGACTCAAAGAGAAGTTCAGTCTCTCTTTGTTTGCAATGAACCGAGGCTGATGACCATTGAACCTCACTGCCAGCGCCAGGTGCCGATGTGGACAGGGGAAAATACCTCGACCTCCATGTTTTACTCCTGGTCCAAGTATCCCATGTTCTTCCGACTCGCTCTAGTTCGCGCTGCTTGGAGTGTGCCGACCGTTGTGAATCGCTTTATTGACCAACTTTGTAAATGCATCATCTTGTTGGTTTGAATCGAAGTCCCGGACATATTGGAGGCGCTGTTTGGCAACGTGGGAGAGAATCGAGGGGAGTGGCTTGATTGACAGAACGAAATGGCTAGGACTGGTTATCAAGCTCCGTACCATGTGCAAGAATGGGCCGACTGAGGAAAATCCTATGCCATAGTTGATCCATCTATATCATGAATTAGTATCCATTGATTACTGCTTACCGGCTTTTCATGGAGTTTTTCTCGTGACAACTCGCAATCCAGAACAGTATCTCCCAAGTCAACTTTCCGGAAATGTGGCCACAAGGTACCTAGAACTGCATTAGAGAGATATCGTGAAACGTCTTCGTTTGTTGTTTCATTCTTGGTGAGCCGTTCGTTGGCCATGCCATCTGTTCACTTTGATGCAGGTGAGTCTGTTGGTAATGGGAGCACCTCATAGCTATCCATCGATTAACGAATTGCTGAGATATTCACGTGCCTAGACACGTGTAGAAGGTAGGTAGTCATACCCCCATCCCAAGAGTGATTTTCCCAACATTATCTTCCTCACATCTTCACCCTCCACATTCTCCCAGAACCATTTGCCTGCAGAGAATTTTCCTCCATCTCCTCTATTTTTCCACTACTGATTGATCCTCTGACAAGGTCAGTCTATTTTCTGTGCTGCTCTCCTCGCTCCTCTTCACTGATCCTCTGACGAGGTCAGTCTGTTTTCTGTGCTCCTCTCCTCGCTCCTCTTCACTGATCCTCTGACGAGGTCAGTCTGTTTTCTGTGCTCCTCTCCTCGCTCCTCTTCACTGATCCTCTGACGAGGTCAGTCTGTTTTCTGTGCTCCTCTCCTCGCTCCTCTTCACTGATCCTCTGACGAGGTCAGTCTGTTTTCTGTGCTCCTCTCCTCGCTCCTCTTCACTGATCCTCTGACGAGGTCAGTCTGTTTTCTGTGCTCCTCTCCTCGCTCCTCTTCACTGATCCTCTGACGAGGTCAGTCTGTTTTCTGTGCTCCTCTCCTCGCTCCTCTTCACTGATCCTCTGACGAGGTCAGTCTGTTTTCTGTGCTCCTCTCCTCGCTCCTCTTCACTGATCCTCTGACGAGGTCAGTCTGTTTTCTGTGCTCCTCTCCTCGCTCCTCTTCACTGATCCTCTGACGAGGTCAGTCTGTTTTCCGTGCTCCTCGCTCGTTTACTCACGATCAACTGGCTAACATAGTCTACTCTCATAGGGTCTTGACAATCACCAGCAATGGATTTCAACGCATTTGCACGAGGATTTGACCAGCCTATGGGTCACGATACCCAGGGTGATAACGAGTTGCGACAATGGAAGCCTAGCGTGATCTCATTCGGGAATAGCTTCGTCAACGTGAAGTCCCGCCTAGTGCTAGAATCACAGCAGCCCAGACTCGAGATCTGCATTGGCAAACGTGTCAACGGGCTTCTGATCTTTACCGCGGAGGATTGCGACTTCCACTTTGCCCGCGAAGGAATTGAACTGGACGATGCTGAAACATTCCGTCAGTATCGAGCTTCCTTGCCGCGAATCTTCGCAGATGGAAAACGAGTTTGGGATACGGCATACCTTGTCAAAGTCCACATGCGCAGGCCGCCAGTCGTCATCGGCTTCCCACCGGAGAATGCTAGCCCTTCTACTCTTCAGGACTGGGAAAGGCTTCTTGGTGTCCAGGACAACTTGATTCTCTGGGGTCAGTGGAGTGACCCAGCTTGGAGATTCCTTTCCAAGGGGTGGAAGTTAATGTCTGGGCTGGAGTATTTGCTTCGCCTGCCATTTGGCGACACCGATCCCGTCACTCTCAACAGCCTTCTTCGTCGTCCGTATGGAAGCATTGATCCCGCAACGCTCGCCCCCCCACAGGCTTTCTGGTTCTACCGGAAACATCCGGCCAATCAAGAGCCGCGAGTAGTGCCAAAGTGGCTTGAGGATCCAAGCGGAGTCAAGCCTTCCATCGTGTGGCAACTCCCTGGGCCCTACTTCCTCAACGACCACGATCGGCAGAGCAGACTGGTTCAAGCCAGCTACGTTGAGAGGGCTTTTGCGCGTGATTTGGTAACCAGTGTGTTCAACCTGAACACTCGACACCGCGCAATCATCACTACCATATCAGGCAACGGTATGAGGCACCGCATTCACGTCAAATTGAATTGCGAGGGCCGGCCTCCGACACTGACAGCAATGGCATCCGTCAGCTTTCTACTGCTAGACGAGATATCAGCAGCTGAGCCTGTTACCGAGGGTGATTTCAAGGCCAAGGGATACAAGGGCACAGTCGTCGATGATGAAACGTTAGGTGATTTCATCATTGACTACTATGGTCACCTCGACTGGACTGATGAAAGTGAGCGAAAGATTGTGATGACCACGAAGCCAAATACCCTTCCAATCGATCAACAAATCGCGGCATTGACTACGGCGGGTACCAAAACGCTCGTATATGGCGACAAGGGTGAAAACCATGGACTGGGATTCTCACTTAGTCGGACTATCCTCGCACATGGCACAGAGCTTAACTTTACCAGTCCTGACTACTTCATTTTGTCCATCGAGATGCTCTCCTCCCTTCCCTCCCAAATTGCCAAAGAGCGCCTCCAATATGTTCGGAACTTCTGCCACCTCGATCCAACACAAGAAGAGGCATTCACCAAGTCTACTACCGCCATCACGGTCGGTGTAAGCCTTATTCATGGTCCCCCTGGAACAGGCAAGACGACCACAGCGGTAGCCATAGTTCTTGCCATGATGGCGCTCCAGATCAAGGTGTTACTCACTTCTGCCTCTAACAAAGGCGTTGACAACCTCACCCTGGCTCTGATCCGGGCCCTTAACCGGGATAGTCGCCTGAAATCTTGGTGTGGACAGGTTGTTCGCTTTCGCACGCCATCATACCACATGTCGGCGGTCCGAGCCGAGAGCCAGAATCAACGGCCCACTCTACGGCGGCAGCCCATCATAAGTCAGTCGGATCTCGAGATGGAACCGATCCAGATGCACTCTCTGGTCTTTGACCATATCGCTGAGCATCCGAATGATCCTGAGTGTGTTGAGCTTCGTGAACTGTGTGACCGAGACACCAGTGATAACCACCCACTCAACCTCCAGGATGTCATCAAGCTGAAGAGCCTCTACGGCAAGATTGTGTGTACGGTCCTGGCTAAAAGCAAGGTCGTAGCAACAACTCTGTCAAATGCCTCGCAAGAATGTTTGAAGTTTTCAGACTTCAAACCATCTGTGAATGTTTCTGACGAGGCCGGTCAGAGCATGGAGGGAGAAAGTATGATTCCAATGACAATGGAATCAATGCGGGTCATTGTGCTGATCGGAGACCCCCGGCAGTTGCCTCCGACTGTTCTTTCAGACGGTGCAAATGAGGGCTCCGAGTTCCTGAAGCGGTCCCTCCTGTCTCGTCTCATGGAAGCGGGCTACCCCCAGGAGACGCTCGTGACCAACTACCGGAATCATCCGCAGATCCTGGAGTTGTTCAACAAGGCAATCTACAGTGGAAAGCTCGCTTCAGGCAGCAACGTCAACCACTTGGATCGAGTGGGAAGGACATGGGATGCTTGGACCAGGCATGCGATGCCTACCGTCGCTCCTGGCAGCCGACGCTTGTTCCTATCCGTGGACAGTGTCGCCTTCCGCCCGGCGAATGAGACATCGTGGTCGAACATGGCGCAGGTACAAGCCGTGCAGACTCTGCTGGAAAATCTGTACAATTTCCAGTCCACCGAAGGCGAGCAAATTGGCCCGTCCGATGTCATGATCATCAGCCCGTACACAGCCCAGCGGAACCTTGTAGCCGCCACTTTGGCGGAGACCGAGCGCGGCTGTTTATATCGCGATAATCTGACTGTCGACGCGGCGCAGGGCCAAGAGGCGCCCATCGTGGTTGTCCTGCTGACGAAGCCTAGCGAAGTTGCTGAGGAGGTCCGCTTCATTGCCGACCAGCATAGACTCAATGTCGCTTTGAGCCGGGCTCAGAAAGCTATCGTCGTTGTAGGAAACGCGCGCCTCTGGCCTGAGAATGTCATTCAGAACATTGAGAGAAGATCGAAGCATAACAAGTTCTTTGCCGGCACTCTCCGACTTCTAACAGCCAAGGGCAATCGGCACATTGTTCACTCTCAGCAACAAGCGGGCCCTGCAACTTCCAGCAATGCCACCTCGATTTCGAACATGATGGACGTTGATAGTGTCTCTGGTTCTCTTGGCCATGACCCTTCCATTCGGACGTTTGCTCAGAGCGTGGTATCGACTCCACTAAATCCATTCCCAGACTTGCAGTCGCGGGTTCAACTTCCTCGGCCAGCTGCTCGGTCCAGATCCCGTTCCCCACCAACTCTTACTAAGCCACCAATTCGTTCTAGAACTCCTCCTGCGACAGCAGCACACACAGAGTTGTATCGAAACCCGGGTAGCAGAGTAGCACGACGGCAACTGTTAGCAGCCAGAATGCGGCGTCATCGGGCAGAGATGGAGGCAGCAGAAAGCAGAGTAATGGCGGCGGAAGCCAGAGCAGCGGTGGCCCGGGACGAGGAGGAAATGATCCGGTTGGAATTTGAGGGTGAGGAAATGGCTCGGCTGGAACTTGAGGACGAAGAGATGAAGGACTGAGATGCTGCTTCTTTCCCTAGCGAATAAACAACTCCTTTCTCTGTGATTCTATGTTGGTGAGAACATCGTAGCTGTTACTTGAAGCTGTTACCCATCAATACAGCCACATTCACCTTTTCCAAATATACACACTAGGCCAGAAGTCTAATACCGAGGCCGTCGAGATAGTCGTTGCAGAGCGAAACGACTGATTCTAACTTCTAATGCTACGCAAAGTATCTGTAGAAGTCCTGGGGAGGATAATGATGGTCCATAATCTAGCTACTCCGTACGGACCGTCTGCGTTGCTATCTCCGCCTCTGGGGTGCTTTTATAACTGACGGAAAAACGGTGGTAAGGCGAATGTATATGTGGCAGAAAAATCTCAATCAATTCTCTAACTCTCTAAAAATGACAATAGTCCTAAAACATGACAATCTTGTGGACATCTTAGTAATCAAACAAACAAAACAAAATGAAAGGATGTTTTTCGGGCGAAAAACCAGCCTGGTCAGTCACGTGACCCAACTGTATCAGGGATGAAAAATGACAGTATTCATCCTAGATTCTGACAATAACTAATGCAGTGGGGGTACGAAGACCGGGATTTGGTGCCTGGTTGCCTTATTTTAGCACCGCTTTCGACACCGCCCTTTACAATGTATTGTAAAATTTAATTCCAAGTTTAAAAAGATGAAGCCTTTGGGCCCATACAAATTTCGCCATCTCTATGTTTCTGGGTGGTTTTTGAGTTCCAAAAAAAGTTCTACTTGAATTGATATATAAAAGCCCCTAATGTTGGTTTTCTCTCCTTCTCCTCTCTTCTTCCTTCTTTCTTCCTCGGCATAAAACCGGGGGAGGGAGGTAGGTAGAGGGGATCAAATCCTCCGTTTCCGCTGAGGTGCAGGAGTAGTACATAGCTAGAGATCTAGCACGCTTGCGACGGACTGGCTTTAGTTTTGCGGCTGCGACAACAACAGGGTCAGCGACGGAATAGGAATGTAAGGGTGTGTGAATTACCTCGAGGGATACTTCGAGCGGCGGCCAGATTAAGCGTTGGTAGACGGCTTCAAATGCCGAGAAATAAGGCCATTTTCTACTGTTATGGTAATTCAGGTATTTAAAATTTCTGCCGCTCTAAGATAAGGCATCCAGGCATCAAATCCCCCCAAAAGGACGCTTCGTAGTGGGGGTTTCACTTCTAGATTATCCACAATACTATTCCATTTACCACTCCATACGTCGTACTTCCGCTCTATTCCTAACTAGTATTCGGATTTTCGGTGCAGCTCGGCCCAGAATATTGAGAATTGTTGATTTTTCCATGGCTTCATTGGGTCCTTCTCGGACCATAAAAGATGGTGCTTCAGCAAGACCAATTCCCCCTACCCCGACTACAATTGATCTTATAAGTGGTAGCCGATGTCCTATCCACAGAACACACCTACTCGAAGTACGAACTCTACTTTCCCTTCGCTTATGGATCAGCCTACAACCACCCAGCTGAGAGCCTCTTTTTCGAAGTCGTTACCTCGCAGCTGTCTGCGTCTCTCGGATATCAAGCAAGGCGTGTTCCTCTCGCTGGCGACGATGCAATCCTTGATATGGGAGCCGTCGAAGACGTTGGCTGTATTTCGGAGCACCAGGGTATGATGGGCGAGATATAGCGCAGTGGCTTCAAGCCTGTTCTGGAACAGGATGTCATTGACGCCATGGCCATCTCTCGAGCTACGCGCTTTAATTAAGCAGGTATTCTCTTTTGATATGCCGATGCTGGAGATGATGAGCATTGGCTCGCTTGACATTCTTGGCTCACATGTCGCAAATGAAATTTTCAGAATTGTAACTGCGGAAAATGAAAGCTAGACTGCTGTTACTTTTATTTTTAGGGTTGAAGTTTGACATGTTTTGTTCTACTGTCAGATGATGGCTATAATCTGAGTTCTCGTTCCCTATATGTGAAAGATCTCACTGTAAAAAGAAGAACAGTCATTGTGTCTCTGGAAACCTAAAGCTGTCTACAGATGTAACTATAAAGGAATGTTGTCTGCCGATCTGGTATGCCAGGTATTACAAGCACAGCTGCTGAAACATCATAAGCAGCGTATCTTCAACATCACTCTATTCATTAGCCATGCCATGGCCTTCGAGATTAATACGAAACATAATGCTTTCCTTAGATTGCACAGATCTCTCACTTCACTGGCTGAGTGAAGCAGTTCATTTCATTGGTATGGAAAACTACTATGTTTCTAAGAAATCTGGAAGGTTTGATGGAAAATATAGAGCGCATTTTACCACCAGTCCATAACAAAAACCAAGGTACCTATTTAAGGCTTAGGCTTAGGTATAGCATCGCTTTAGTTGGTGTAGCTACGATAAAATTGTCTATATACCACGCTATCTCACCTGTACCTTCAATATATAGCTAGTGAAGAGGGAACTCTACAACGGAGGCAGCAGGGGTGCCGACAGTCCGCCCTGCCTGTGAAACAGGGTGAAAGTAAAGTTGTTCACTGGGAATAGTAGGGTGCTAGAGAGGACAACACTTGGGATGACTACTAGTAGAAAGGAAGGTAATTGGATTTGTGCACCAGGGGTGCTTTTATAGTTATCACATGACCGCTTCGTCTGGAATTCTCTAGTTAACTAACCGTCCGGGCCAGTAGTACTAGTCACTTGAGCTCCGGTGCCATTTTCGAGAACGGACCAACCCATTTTATATTCTCATGACCAATGGTACAATTCGATAGTACTAAACCAATTTGAGCAAGTGTCCATTATGCTCTCTGACGTCACGTCGACTATTCCCTTCGCACATAAAGTCTTCTTTTGCTCTCTTCCCTTAACTTATTCTCTTCCAATCTACTTGATTGAACGATACACCATCTTGAATTTTCATTGAAAATGATGGACCTCTCTATTCCTGAAGTACTGCTTCGGCGTTTCAATCACAGCTATGACCATATGAAAGACATTCATGCGGCTCTACGGAAGATGGAAGGTGCTTCCATTACTGACAAAACTATGGAGCATCTAGGTATCTCAGTCGCTGAAATGGATCTGAAGACAGGTTCTGAATCTCCTTATTTTACACCTAATGGAGCAGAACATGTGCCAGACCCTACTAGAGAGAGAATTCAAGAAGAGCCCTTTGTGAGCCGGCGGTGGGAACGGGGATTCAGGTCCCCCCGCCGGCCTCTACCATCTTATTACCTGATGTCAGCCTTCTTATACTACCAAACAGCAATTAAATGGCTCAACCGATACTTACCTAAAGACGAAGAGGACGGAAAAAGTACCGAGGGGGACGAAGAGATGCGTGAGCAAAAGAATGACGAAAACGAGCGCAACGGCGTTCAAGGGGTTGATGAGAGTTCTGAGGAGAGCGAGGAAGATATGTGTAGTGAGTGGGATAGTGACGAGGAAAGTGACAAGGAGAGTGAAGAGCATGAAGAACAGCGGCGCAAACGACAGGAAGAGAGGTGGAGACAGATCGCAGAGAGGCAAAGAAAGACCGATGAGGCTGAGGAAGCCCGGATGGTATATGAATGGAATGTTTATCAGTCAGTGGGAATGCTTGAAAAACGAAATCATATCGCTCACTGACAGTCTTTATAGTTATCCAATGCCCTACGATTTCGAACCCCGGGAGAACCATCATGATTTCAAAATTGTTCGCACAGGAAAGAGAAACAATCCTCTTCAATGCCATCAATGGGCTGTGGCGTTGATTGACGAGTCTGATGAGAACCGACCATCCATTACCGAGCTATTAGTGCTAGCCACTCGAATGTTGAAAGCAATGAACTCCCAGAAAAGACTTTTCGGTACATCTCAGGACGAGAACATCCAGTTGCACCATCTTTTCCCCGTGAGTATTCCCTCTGATATTGCATATTTCAATACTAAGGAAAGCCAGACAACAATTGTCACGTTCGATGATCACACTCGTGCCCGTGTAATATCTGGGTACTACGATAATGGACTGAAAGTCCATTTCACCGAGTCCGTGGACTTTGAATGGTGCACGACAGATAAATATGATTACGGCGAACTTTGGGACCGGGAATGGGTTAATGATACATGGTATGGCAAATTGATGAGCTATTTGGTTGCTTGGGCATGGCCTCTGGCACAGATGAACACCGTTCAGACTCTCACATTGCCCATTATATCGAGAAACATGGAAAATGAGGGCAATGAGCTGTGATGGGCCAGGGTATGACACGGTGAACATTGATGTTGCTACAATGATGGCTCCATATTATTATGTTTGGTCTGGGTGGTTCAAATTGACATTAGGAGGAGAGAGACGTTGCTGCTTTCTGCATAATCGATATATGCCTTTGCTCCATTTTAAATTGAAACCACAAGAATAGTCGGCCGCGTATTCTGCCTTTATTTTTGACGATGAAAGTGTAAGTGTTAAAGACATAATTAATTTACTTGGGATAAGCGAATTGATGCTAACGGGAAGCTTAGAGCAATGAAATTGTCCGGGGCAACTATGTAGCGGCGACGGAGTCTAGCTATCCCCCCACCAGTCATCAGATGCGTACAATACCGATAGAGAGTTCGGACGGACTGTCAAGCGAGCAAGAGCATGACTCGTTCCCGACAATCACCGAAATCTCACTGAAGTGGCGGTTCGCGGGGAGGGTTGATCTCCGCTGAACGATCGACTGACCGGAGTCGAGACGCTGGAAACTGGCCGATGTTGAACTAGCGCGTGGACCGCTGAGCCGTGGACCCCCTGCACCCTCAAACAGCGCGATGAAATCTCCTGCGGTCATAAAGAAATCGAGGTTCTTGGCACAAACCCCAGAAGAAAACAGGAGAAAGCCGAGGAGAAAGCTTGCCGGGTACAATGTTCTGCGCCGAAGTAACTTGATCAAGGCGGTATATCTAATAGTTGTTGCTTAGTGAAAGTGACCACAAACTTCCCGAAGAGTTTGACGTGTTTGTGGTTGTACACACTCAGCGGCCCTGCAAGATAGAGATGCAGAAAGCTGTCACCAGGCTGATTGTCCTCTGGATCTTCTCCGGAAATATAGTCAAGCCACGGCTGTTCAAACCTGGCGATGACCAGGTAAACCTCATCAGCACATTCAGCCATCATGATCCATCTGTATCTTTGATTAGCGTTCTGCATTAGCTGCCGCGGAATTTCGGCTTACCGGTTTTTCATGAGGTTCAGCTTGTGGCAATTCGCAATCCAAAACAGCATCTCCCAGCCCATCTGGCGCAGGAAATTCTCATAGCCAGTTTTGGACCGGAGGAGATTGGACTTGACCTCCACGATACAATGGATGTCATTCCTGTTCTGAGGGTTGACTAATTGTCCATCCGCGTAGAGAATCAATCTACCATCTTCATCTGATTTCTTCTGCTTCTTGGCAGGTCTATCAGACTCCTGATCATTCCGGTCCATGTCCATGTCACCTTGCTCGGATTGTGGTCTCAAGAAAAATCGACTTTCCTTTTGCATGAATGATATGTAAGGCTTACAAGGGTTCCACATCAGCCTCCTTTTGGACTCCCGAGGGAAATCCAGACACAAGGTACCCAGAAACTGCATGAGAGAGGTATTGGTAACCTCCTCGCCCATCGTGATATCATCTGAGCGCTGTTCCCTGGATACAATATTGTCGTGGCTGCGCAAGGTTGCATTGAGGGTATCACCAGACATCATTGTTTCGTCTGTCTCCCCTTTCTGATGCCCTGTCACAATAGTGCCGGAAGTGGTTTCTGAGGGATCCTCCTGCGACCTCGCCCACATCTCGCAGATCCTAGCTTTTTCGGAAAGCTCTCGCAAGTGTTGATCTTCGATGTCGGGCCGTTGAATGATATTGAGTTGAAGGTCACGGACGAAGGCGTACTCGCCGGTACAACGGCGCTCATCATCACGTAGAGAACTACCATATTTCTTTATATGTTTATAGTACCTCTTAAATTCCGTGTTCTTCGTTTGGTACTTGGCAGCAAACTCTCTAGCTGCCTTCTCAAATCCTAGCCCTTTTTGAACATCTGTCAATGGCTTAGACTGGTTTTCATCGATAGAGAGGTCGCTGATTTTAGCCTTATGCCATATGATACGTCCAGTCAGGTATTCTGGGAGGCCAATCTTAGATGCGGATAGACAGCCTTTCATTTCTCGGACATGTAGGTCCCTAATCCTCTTCCCATGGCGCGGATCGGGTGCCTTTTGTGGCTTATCTGTCGTTTTGGCTGGCTCTTTGCCCTTTGACTTTTCTGTTTCGCTCTTAGCGCTCGTCGGGGGAATGTATGGATTTGAGGCTGCGTCTTCCCATTCCTCTTCGGTTTTGGGAATCTCAAGCAGTGCCCACCACTCTTCGGCTGTGTGATTTATCTCAAGTCAGCTCATGTCAGTTACACGGGGGGCTGTGGAAATAATAGCTTACCATTGTGATCCGCCCTGGTGCGGCGGGGAGGTAGCTTTGAGCTCATTTCGAACGGCAGCAGGCTGGCCAGAAGTGAGATGAAAATGAGTCGCGACCTCGTCAGAGGATCGTGAAGTGAGATGAAAAGGAGACCTGACCTCGCCAGAGGATCAGAATTGAGATGAAAATGAGTCGCGACCTCGTCAGAGGATCGTGAAGTGAGATGAAAAGGAGACCTGACCTCGCCAGAGGATCAGAATTGAGATGAAAATGAGTCGCGACCTCGTCAGAGGATCGTGAAGTGAGATGAAAAAGAGACCTAACCTCGTCAGAGGATCAGAAGCCAATAAGAAGTAGAGAAACAGCATATGCGATGGAACTGAAGCACTGATGATGATCGGTGGACAGTGGCAAGAGTACAGTGATGACCGGTTCCAGAAGCTTAGATCTAGTCGAAAGGGAAGAGGAGTCGAGGGGAAGAGTAAAATGAATGGGAATTGGAACGTGACCTCAGCCATAAAGAAAAAAGTTCCCTGACGAGGAAGGAGCCCTGGAGTTCATTTTTTCGCCTCGGCCTACAGCTTGTTCCTACTCTCCTCCAACAACGAGCTTGGAAGTTACATAAAGAATGCATGCACTAATTTTAGAGGGAAATGGGTTATAATTGCGTGTATTTGAAAGCTCAAGTCACTCCAAGTATTGTATAAGCCTCTCATATCGTCGATCCAGATTCACAAAGGCTATGTAGGCGATACCATGGCAATCGTTCGAGTACTTCCCTCCCAGGGTTGAACTGATTCCCTGAGATTGCTGGTCAAGCCCGGCTCCATCTTCTCATCTTGAGAAAATATACACATATGGAAGGTGAAAACTGAGATATTGGCGATCGGTTATCGTAGGGTTGAATTGATAGTCTGAGTTGAACTGTTTCTCCGTCGGTTGGTTTTATGCTTTCGCTTTTCTCTTAATGCCCCCTCTATATTTGATCTAGTCCTGTTTAGCCACCTCGGAGGGCCATTATCAATATTTGGTTAACTGGTCAGCTCTCAATGCGAGGATTTGCAGGATAAGGCAAGATCCTGACCGTGTTTCCTATTGAGGAAAACATCCAGTTGAGACATAACAAAGAATGAAGGAAGAATGAATAAATACCACAGAGAGAAATCAACGGAGAAGAGAGACGGAGAAGATCGAGGAGAATGGATGACAAGAGACACAGAATGACAAGGGTTTTACAGAATGTCATTCCATTAGGATACGAGGATGATCTCCATAGTCTGTAACTCTAGCTGACCTTTGGGTTGTTGTATCGCTCTCATCTTGTCTGCTAGGCTAGATTCAGTATAGAGAATGAGAATTTGAGCATTAAGAATTGAATATCAGACTGCGATATGGCCCCCCTAGGCCTTAAACAGGAACCTTGGTTTTTGTTATGCGCTGTATTTTTCGATCATTAAACTTTACGAAGGGAGGTGATCTCCGAATAGCTTCATGTTCGATAGATCAGATAATCTCTAAATAGCTTCATGGCTGACAGTACCTTACAATCACTCTAGGGATACCATAGTAAATTACACGAGCTGATTGGAAACTGCGGCCAGCGGGAGATATACCCGAAGTAGTTTAGCGGGGAGTGTGTCGCAAGTAAAAAAGGGAGCGAAGCTCGTGTGCGTATCACGTGATAGGCCTTTTCTTATGGTCCCTAGGTTTCAAGGCGGCGAAAAGCTGTACGGTGAGATTTGGCAGAATGGCCCAGCCGGCAGAATAAGGCCCATGGGGTGTTTGAAACGAGGGAAACATTATCCTGCTTAGTCCTTACTCCGTTTGTTGGCAGGTGTTCTAACCTAATCCCGCTGGACTATATTTTCTATAACATGAAGAGGAACGTTAAAATGTTAAGTCAAAAGTATGCTATAAAAAATATCCCAGAGCACCCACAAGAAGGATGAGTTGATCGGTACGCTGGTACTTGATTACCTTATTTCCAACATCTTACTTCGATTTACGTAATCTCAGATTCTCATGTATGGCTTCTGATTGGTCAAAAATTCGGTAGTAACGTGACTAGGGTAGGGCTAATCACGTGATATATATGCCTTATGCATCTGGCACGTGACTGTATAGCATGATTACGTAAGATATACCGGCGGCGATTGCGTAGCCACCCTTTAACCAAGCAAACAATCAACCAATTAAATAATTAAATAATTAAACCGCGGCGTAGCCGCTAAGCCGGCTATAGGCCATTTAAGAAAGCAAGTAAGCAAGTAAGTAAGTAAGTCACAGCGTAGCCACTAAGCCGGCTGTAGGTCATTTAAGCAAGTAAGTAAGTAAATAAGCAAATAAGTCTACCCCTACCGCCTACCCCCCCCCAGGGGTAGGGGTGGGGGTAGGTTCGAATGCCTAAAGGCTCATATAGAGTATATAACCTAGACTTTGATTCGTCTACGCTCAGCAAACTATAACCCGTATGCGTCACCACCCCGAGTGGTCGCTTACAGGTAGCTGGTATTTAAACCTGGAAGGTTCTATACGGAATAAACAATAAAAATCCACCACTATTTATTATGCTAACATGCAATACAAAGACATGTGTATATGTACCTCATTAAATCGCTAGTAGTGGTGCATCTAAAATTTGAATCCTGCTCACAGTCTTGCTTGGGGTTTCCCAGCCCCGGGGGTGCTATCGAATATCTTGTTCTGGCGACTATCAAGCCGGGACTGAGTAGACTCAAATAGCCGCGGGAGTCTAGTCTGTGCAAAATCGATATCATTGAGTACCATTTTTGCCAAGCCCTCGGCCGCCAGGAAAATTTGAGGCATTCCATGTCCCGTGAACCCAGCGATGATGTACTGATCCTTCTGTCCTGGGACAAGGCCAATATGCGGTAGTCCATCCGACGAATAGCCCATGACTATAGAGAAGTTGAGTCAGTTCAGTGGTACACGCAGGGAAATCATAGATTGAGCAACGTACTTCCTGTCCAGACCCTGTCCGTGTAAGCGTGGCTATTTTCCCAACCGACAAAGTTCCGCTGCATATAATTATCCCAGTATCGGACAGCAGGCTCAAGAACCAGGCTGTCATCACTGACATTGTACCAGCTGTCTAGATCATCGATGAAAGCCGGGCGAGCACCGCCAACGACTATACTCCCATCGGCGCGTGGGATGAGGTAGTCGTAATTCCAATTGTTCCAGCGCAGGGTGTAAGTATTCGTCAGAGGAGGAGCGGTAGAACCTCGAGGCACGACAATTCGGCTGCATGTTCCTCGGACAGGGATAATCTTCTCCTTATATTGCGGGGCCAGAGACGAAGTATACGCATTCGTTGCTAGAACCACTGTCTTGGCGGCAACAGAACCTCGGGCAGTATTCACTGTCCAAGGATGGCTGGATGTTGAGGGAGTAGACTTTGTAATTCCAGATACAGGTGTGTGCGTCTGTAAATTTACACCTTTCGCAATTGCTTTTTCCAGAAGGTGCAGCACGAATTTGTATGGCCAAATGTGACCGGCGTCATATGTGAAACAACCTTGTGCACCTTTGACTCCAGAGAACTGATGTACAGCTGGTCAGTATATCGAAATACGACATTTCGAGCATGTGCTCACCTTCTCGGCCTCATTCCTGGGGATATATTTTGCCTTTGTGGTCGCTTCACACCCCTTCTCGATCAATCCATCGTATGCCTTCTTGAGTGTTGCGCTATAGCTCCGAGACAACTGAACATCGATAGCCTTTGTGACGGTGTATTCACAGTCTATCTTTTCTCTTTCGACGAACTCCTTCAGAAACGAGATATGCTTAGCCTCGAAAGCGGCAACCTCAGCAGCAGCCTCGACACCATGATCAACGGCCAAGCTAGCGATACCATTATAAACATCCGGCTTCATGTGTCCTCCTACAATAAGCAGAACAGAAATATTTTAGCAAAGTTTATCACTTTTAACTATCCAATCTTACCATTTCGACCAGTGGCACCGGAACAAGCCTGTCGAGCCTCCAGAATCACAATCGAAGGCGGCGTCGACCCGGGGCTAAGTTGGTCGAGAATATGGTGCACAACAGATGCTCCTGCATATCCAGCTCCTACAACGACAATATCACACTCCCGAGGGAGAGATTCGGTTGATCGATGGCTGTCCAGAAAGTGAGGCTCTGTCCGCCAGAATGACGTCATCCCATTTGGGACTGGGGTATGCTTCGATTCCATTTTGGAGAGTCCAAGACTATTAGCGGGCTTGGAAGTAGGCTAGGAAACACAAATGAATCGGAATTATTTATTGGCATTGGAATTGAGGACTAGGGAGGTGTTTCCCCTCCCGGCGGCTTTTCCACCGGTAACTTTCCCGGTCCTGACCCGGCTAGTTAACATCGGACGTACAGTGATAACGCTTCGTCCGGCGGTATCTAATAATACTTTGAGGAGTTGGCTTGAATGATTCGAGTTTAGAGTGGGAGATAAAAAAAGAGAAGTTTGAACTTAAATCAACATTGTCAATAGAAGAGTTGAGGTTGGAAAATGTTTACTGTCAGAACAAGAATATAGTCTCAGGCCATATACTTCTTTTTTCATGGCTTAATACTTCTAATTTCTACATATACACCGGAATCAATAAGTTTAACAAAAGGGCATTCTATTCAGGTTGATGTAATTAAGACTAAGTGCAAGCCTTCAAGATGACGCCTGGTGGGCAATGATCTTCTCTGCCATCCCTGGCAAAGTCCCGTCCAAAACATCCATTTCTCCAAAAAGTTCCGACAGAGACTCCTTCTCCCACACAGAGCAGTAAGCCCCCTTGAATCTGTATAATAAAGTGTCAGTAATAGCCAGTAGCAACTTCCAGCTCAAAGATGAGACACATACCCAGCCTTCCTCGCCGCAGAGACATCCCACATATGCGCTGCCGCAAACCAAGGCGTCTTCCCATCATTCTCCGACTTCAGCTTCTCCAGCAAAGGACGATAAGCCGCCAAGTCAGGCTTACCCACACCGACGTCATCACAAGAGAGCAAGTTCTCCGCAGGCAGCTCAACGCCCGCGTTATTGAAATAGCCCCC